CTGGAATTAAAAATCTTTTTGCCGTGTGTGTGTGTGTGTGTGTGTGTATGTATGTATGTATGTATGTATGTATGTATGTATGTATGTTTGTTTTGCATGCAGGTACCCATGGAGACCTGAAGAAGGTATTGAATACTCTGGAGCTGGAGTTACCAGCACTTGTGGCCCTTCTGATGTGGGTCCTTTGAAAAAGTAGCAAGTGCTTTTAACTGCTAAGCTGTCTCTCCAGCTCCAGCACTAGTAGATTTTTCTCCTAAAAGATCTTTTAAAAGATGTTGAATTAAGTGTAAATGAATGTGTCTGTGTGAAGGTCTGTGCACATGTGTGCTGGTACCCGTAGAGGTCAGAAGAGGGCATCTGGTTCACTGGAGCTAGAGTTACAGGTGTTTGTGAGCCACCCAACACGGGTGCTGGGAACCAGACTCAGATCTTCTAAAAGCACTCTTAACTTCAGAACCACTTCTCCCAACTCCATACATGTTTTTTTAAGTGAATTTTTTAAGTCTGAATCTGAAGTAGTCAACCTATAAATTTCTATATCAAAATGTTTCAGTTGATAAGCCTGTTTAAACCTTGTCTGTTTCTTTGTTTTGAGACAGTCTCTCTGTGTAGCTCTGGATGTCCCAGAACTAGCTGTGTATACCAGGCTGGTCTCGAACTCACAGAGATCCGCCTGCCACTGCCTCCTGAATGCTGGGATTAAAGGTGTGCACCACCACCACCCAGTCCCTTGTATGTTCCTTTCATTGTCTAAGTAGGAATGGAAAATTACCCTCAACCCATGTCAGTTTTAACTAGTGTTTGCCATTTTTGCAGCCTCTCCTCTTAAAAATAATGATGAAGGCTCATTGGACATTTATGCTGGGTTGGACAGTGCTGTTTCTGGTATGTAGATTTCATAAAACAGTCTCATTTTGTTTGGTTGGTTTGCTGTGCATGTTTTATTGTTATTAGCTCTTGGTAACCTTATAGCTCTGAAATAATACGACCTGTCTTTGAGATAATTACACTGAGGTAATTTCTTTCTGGCCCAAAGCTTGGTCAGAACATATTAGCACACAGATTTGTTTCTCTAGGACTCAGATTTAATTTGTCCTTGTGCAAACATATTTCATACCATTGAAATGACACTTGTCCTGTTGAATATGCATGCCTGCCTATGCTATCACAGAGAATAATGTTACTGTCAGTGTCTTCAAATGATCAGAATGAATGTTAATGGAGTATCTGACCATCTATCCAATTAGAGCTTTTCCACAATCAGATCTTTCAGTGTTTTGTAACAGATGATTACCACACTGGATTTATTGAAACAGCCATTTTATATAATGTGGCTTTCCTGCTGTTGTCTATGAAATCAGTGTAGGTTGCATAAACTACAAATGAGGAGAAATATGACCCTTTGAAGTAGATGCAACATCAAGAATCCTAACACAAAAAAATAATGGTATACATGTATAAAATATAAAACAAACCACTCTTTATGCTCACTAAAATGTTTTGATAAAAACTGATTCACAAAAGAATCCTAACAAATATTTTAACATGTTTTGTGTTTTCAGACAGTACTGCTAAATCCTGCGTATCATTCAAAAACTGTTTAGATTTGTACGAAGAGATCCTGACTGAAGAAGGAACTGCAAAGGAAGCAACCTACAATGACGTATGAATTGTCACTGTTACTAAGAACAGTTAATTCTGTAGCTCCTGAAGAGAGGGCTGCAGCTTACTGTTGAACAAATATTCCATGTTTAGAGATTAGTTGAGTTTTTATTTTATGTACATTGGTGTTTTGTCTGCATGTGTGGCTATATGAGGGTGTCAGACCCCCCCTAGAACTGGAGTTACAGACAGTTGTGAGCAGTCAATGCTCTTAACCGCTGAGCCATCTCTCCAGCCCCCGGAAGTAATTCTTAAGTTAACAGTATTTAAGGTAGTTTCTGCCTCTGACATGTTTTTCCAATAAATACTTTCTGAATAAATGTCTGAATTCAGTTACAATTTTATTTGACTGAACTTAAGTATCTGAATGTATAAAATTTTAGTGAACTATTCCTGTAATAGAACATTGCATTTTTTCATTATTTGTATTAAAATGTCCTAAGACTTACACGAGAAAATTTCTTTTAGCTGTATATTTTAATATTAAGGTTCAGAAGTACAATATGAAGCTTACCAAAATGTACTATCAATGGGCTGAACTTTAAAAACCAATAATCTAGGCAAGCATAATGGTACTTACCTATAATCTCAGTGTTTGTGAGGCTGAGGCAGAAGGTTCAAGAATGAAGCAGCCTGGCCTACATCTTGGAGACACCGAGAAAACAACAACAACAAAAGCAAATGTGATATGTTTTAATAACCTATGAGTACATTGATTTCTCCCCACCTCAAAAATTTAAATGTCACTTAAGTTAAATTAGTCCTTTTGCGTTTTACAGTTGCAGATAGAATATGGCAAATGTCAGGTGCAAATGAAAGAGCTGATGAAAAGGTTTAAGGAAATACAGACACAGGTATTGTGGTTATTTCTTCCTTGTTAACATTTACGTTTGAGTGTATGTATGCACATGAGTGAATGGATGTGGATGCACTTGTTTGTACATGTGGAAGCCAGAGATCATCCCTGGGTGGTGTTCCCAGGCACCATCTGCCTTGTCTTTTGAGACAGGGTTTCTCACTGGCCTGTATCTCACCAAGTAGGCTAGGCTGTGTGCCAGCAAGCCTCAGGGATCCAAATCTCTCCACCTTTCCAGCACTGAGATTATAAGCATGTACAACTCAAAATAACTTTCTGTGAGTTCTTGGGAATCAAACTTGCATCCTCATGCTTGTATGCCTAGCTCTTTACTAACTGACCTATCTTCCCAGTCAGCCCTTTGTTAATGTTTTATTTAAAAACATAAAAACCTGAGATTGATTCCCAAGACAGATAGACAGACATCAATGAGTGTAGTCCTAGCTGCTTAGGAGACTAGAATGGGAGGATCATTTAACCTTGGAGTTTGAGAGGCAGGCTGGATAACATAGTAAGACATTCACTCTCCTCCCTCTCCCTGTCCCTCTCCCTGTCCCTCTCCCTGTCCCTCTCCCTGTCCCTCTCCCTGTCCCTCTCCCTCTCCCTGTCCCTGTCCCTCTCCCTCTCCCTCTCCCTCTCTTCCTCTCTTCCTCTCCCCCTCCTCCACCTCTCTTTTGTTTTTTTCCAGACAGGGGTTCTCTGTGGCTTTGGAGGCTGTCCTAGAATTAGCTCTTGTAGACTAGGCTGGTCTCGAACTCACAGAGATCCACCTGCCTCTGCCTCCCCAGTGCTGGGATTAAATGTGTGCGCCACCTCCGCCCAGCCTAAGACCATCTCTTTTTCAAAGAAAAAAAGTTATAATTAAAATGTTGGCAGTTTATATAAAGCTTAATACCAGGGCTGTAGAGATGGCTCAGAAGTTAAGAGCACTGGCTGCTCTTCTAAAGTACCCTGGTTCAATTCCCAGCACATGGAGGCTCCCAATTGTCTGTGTAATTCCAGTTTCAGGGATCCAGCATCCTTTCACAGACATACATGCAAGTAAAACATTAATGTACATAAAAAATAAAATGGAGAAAAAAAGATTAATACCCAGATTTTGTGCATTTGAGGTAAGTGCTCTAACACTGAAGTATACCCCACCCATCTTTTCTTGGTCATTAATTATCAAGGCAATAAAGTATTGGCATCTTATAAAGTTTTTTCTTTTTTGTTAGACTTTGAATCCAAGGCCTAAACATTCAGCATCTGACATTATTTCTCTCTCTCTCTCTCTCTCTCTCTCTCTCTCTCTCTCTCTGTGTGTGTGTGTGTGTGTGTGTGTGTGTGTGTGTAAAATTACATCTATTCTTTGACAACCATACATGTATACAGTATGTCTTGATCATATACATCCCTCTCCACTCTAAAAAATATTTTTTATCAATTTACTATTTTAATTATTTCTTGATTAATGAAAGGGTTATAGGAAAATTTATTAAAAGTTAAAATGACATTGACATAATTGCTGTGTTGGATGGACTGCTAATTGAGTGGTAATTTTAGAAGTGGCTGGCTTGAAAAGGGTCGTTTTCTTTTGTTTGAGGTAGTCTTACTGTGCAGTCCTGGCTAGCCTGGAACTTCCTATGCAGACCAGTCTGGCCCTGAATTCAGAAGTTTGCCTGTCTCTGCCTTCCAAGTGCTTGCACTGAAAGCATGTAACACAATACTCAGCTAAGAGGATAGTTTTGAGGAACAAGGATTAGGATTTTTTTTTTTTTTTTTTAGTAGAAAAAAGTGTCAACTCTCAGTTCTCAGTTATTTTTGTGATTGTGCTGCAAAAATATTGAATGTGACAGTGTTCTGTGTACTTTTTTATACATCTTGTTTTTCTTGATTCTCCTTTCCCTGAACCAGCTCTAGATTTGTATCTTTTTTGTTTGTTTGTTTTTTGTTTTTGTTTTTGAGACAGGGTTTCTCTGTGCAGCTTTAGAGCCTATCCTGGCACTCACTCTGTAGACCAGGCTGGCCTCGAACTCACAGAGATCCACCTGCCTCTGCCTTCCGAGTGCTGGGATTAAAGGTGTGCGCCACCAACGCCCGGCTCTAGATTTGTGTCTTTATTTGAAAACTAACACATTTTTGCATATTTAGCTTGTTAGATAGGGTATTGCTTAACACTTTTTAGTGGTTGTTTTTTATTTTAAGACATGGTCTCACAATGTAATACTGGGTGACCTGGAACTTGCTATATGGATCAGGCTGGCTTCCAACTCGAAGAGAATCTGCCTGCCTGTGCCTCCTGAGTGCTGGGACTAAAGGTGTGCACCACCACACCTAGCTGATCATATTTTAGTTATGAAAGTTAAGTATTTAGTTATTAAAACTAAGACCTCAATATAATGGTCCAGGGAGAACTTGCTGTCCTGTATTACTCTTACAGTTCGATGTTTATATGAAGTATTTCCTATCAGGTGGGCCTTTTCTGGTGTTGGGTATCATCTCAGAATCTCAGCTTCTGCATCTGAGCAATAGGAAAACAATGATTCTTTTTTCTTTTCTTTTTCTTTTTTCTTTTTTTGGTTTTTATAAGACAGGGTTTCTCTGTATTGTTTTGGAGCCTGTCCTGGAACTAGCTCTGGTAGACCAGGCTGTTCTCAAACTCACAGATATCCACCTGCCTCTGCTTCCCAAGTGCTAGAATTAAAAGGCATGCACCACCAACACCTGGCCAAGAAAACAAAAATTCTTAGAGAGCTGCTTCTCAGAATTACCTAAGGCAAAATGTATAATGCCTAGCATTAGTTAGTATTCAGCAATTAGTAGAAAGCTGGGCATGGTGACATATACCAGCAATCCCCCCACACACACATTGGAGGCTGAGGCAGGAGGATCAAGAGAGTTCAAGGCTATCATGAATTCCACATCTACAGCCAAGCTTTATCTTTAAAAACCTCACCCACAACAACTAGTGACTATAAGTAGCACTATTGACAATTCTGTATTTTGGTCTGTTAATGGCTCTTATTAATCTGTGTCTTAGAACTTGAACTTAAAAAATGAAAACCAGTCTCTTAAGAAGAATATCTCAGCACTGATCAAAACTGCCAGAGTGGAGATAAACCGTAAGGATGAAGAGATAAATCATCTTCACCAAAGGTATCACTGTGGGTGTCACCTGCCACCATTCACATGAAGTATGTTTTATTTTCAAAGGATGGAATATGTATTTTATTAAATAGTTACAGTTCTAATGTAAATAGCAACTACTCTGCTAATGATTTGTAATGATAACTGTGCTTACTGATGGAACATTGCCACACACTTCCAAATATATAGTTTTCCAAATCATTGGGATCTTGTACTGATTATCAGAGAAAGTCACTGTGCATGTCCTGAGTTCTGCTGGTCACACCTGATACTGAGACATCAGGAGAGCAGGGCTGGGGAAGTAGCTCATGTCCAGTGAAGTATGTGCCAAGAATGCCAGAAGAAAGAAGGGTGAGCAAGTGAAGGCACTTGGAGCCATGCCTGCTGACCTGAAGTCAATCCTTAAATCCAGATGCTAGGAGAGAACCAACTCCCTCAAGTGTACTGTGACCTTCGCACGTATGCTATGGCATGCTTGCACTGGCCTCCTCCTCAAATAAGTAAATAAATTAATGCAAAATTTTAAATGGCAAGAAAGAAGAAATACTCATTTAATCTTTTTTTAGTACATAACCCCTCTTGAGTTTTTTTGTTTGTTTGTTTAAATTTGTTGTTAATTTTTCTCACTCTGTTCAATTCAGGGTGACATTCTGCTCCAGGGGAGTTCATATCTGTACCTAACCCTGTAGACATCTAAACCATAGACAGAATTGAGAAAATTGCTTAACTTGCTGCTGCCATTTCTTCTTTCCTTTTTTTTTTTGTTTTGTTTTTAAGGATACGGTGTCACCACACAATTATGGCTGGTTTTGAATTTGTTGTTCATTTTCTTGTCTCATCCTCCTGAGGCATGCATTATCACACCTGGCTCCAAATTCTGCTATTATAATATGGGTTGATATTTTTTGTTGTTGTAGTTTTGATTTTGGGTGATTAGGAAAGTCTAACCAAGTTTATCGTGAGCTATGCAAGTTTTAGCTGTTACCACTAAGCCCTTGGCACTTTTGTTTTAAACCTCATTCATTCATTCATTCTCTCTCTCTCTCTCTCTCTCTCTCTCTCTCTTGTGTGTATGTGTGTGTCTACACTCAGTAGTGGAGTTTTCTTTCTGTCATGTTGGGTTTCAGGATTAAATTCAGGTTAGCAGCTGGGTGGTGGTGGTGCACATCTTTAATCTCAGCTCTTAGGAGGCTGTGGCAGGTGGATCTCTGTACTTGGGAGGTAGAGGCAGAATGATCTCTGTGAGTTTGAAGGCAGCCTGGTCTACAGAGCTAGTTCTAGGACAGGTAGGGCTACATAGAGAGACTGTCTCCAAAAAAAAAAAAAAAAAAAAAAAAAAACCAGGCAGGGGAGGCAGTGGTGGTGCACGCCTTTAATCCCAGTACTCGGGAAGCAGAGGCAGGTGGATCTCTGTGAGTTCGAGACCAGCTTGGTCTACCAGAGCACGTTCCAGGACAATCTCCAAATTCACAGAGAAACCCTGTCTCAAAAAAACCTAACAAACACAAACAGACAAGGTTTAAACAGGCTTATCAACTGAAACATTTTGATATAGAGTAATGAGGTTTTATTTCCAGCAATAATAAACTACTTTCCATCAAACCAATCCTCACATAACATTTGAAATGCTAAATTAAATATTAAAGTTACCCAAAGAGCTAAAAAAACAACATAAAACAAACAGAAACCAAAAGGGAGTGGGGTGTGTGAAGCTTGAGAACTGAACTGAGAAAACAAATCCTGACCATGAGATAATACCTACAAGAAGTACTGGGATGGAAAGACCATTCATGGAGGCTCACAACCAACTGTAACTATTCCCAGGGAATCTGATATTCTCTTACAGCCTACACAGAGCAGATAGCAGACACGCACACGGTACACGGACATACATACAGACAAAATACTCATATACATAAGATAAATTTTAAAAAAAGATAGCTCCAAGTTCCCAGTCTCCTTTTTATCACTGCTATTTGTTGAAAGGAAGATCTATCTTCGAGCTCTATGGGCAGTGACAACAGACAGACATCTCTGCTAGGAATGTCCAACCTGAGATCTATAGGCCACATGCATCCTGCAACAGCTAGGAATGCAGCCTGACACATTTGTAGGTGGCATCATTTTATTGAAATGTCAGGTTAAAGCTGAGGTAAGGCTCTAAGGAAAAAGCAACTGAAGATGAGAGAGCAAATTCAGAAAACCAAGGAGCGGATTTCCAAATTGTGCCTCAGATGTCCGCATGTCTGCATAACCTCCAAAGAAAACAGAACCACCAAAAGCTAAAATACTCAGAGTTGTAAGTATATTTTCAACCAAGTCAAATACCTGTTAAAATAAATGCAAGATGAGAATATAATCCAGACTCTCCACACAATATCAGACTATGACTAATGCAATCCAAATTTAGTAAACCTCACCAAAGAAATAGAAACAATTAAAAGAACCAATTAGAGCTGGGCATGATAGTTCTCTGTGAGTTCAAGGTCAGTCTGGTCTACATAGCGAGGCTTTATCTCAAAAGCAACAAAAGAACCAGTTGGCTGGAAATGGTGGTGCATACTTCTAATTCTAGCACTTGGAGGCTAGCCTGATATACGTATCAAGTTCCAGGCCATCCAGGGCTACACACAGAAACCCTCTCTTGAAAAACCAAACAAGATGTAAAACAACAACAGAAACAAACAAAACAGAACCAACTGAAAATTCTAAAATAGAAAACTACATATAATAATTATCATCATCATCACTGGATATGCTTGACTGTACTACATTGATTAGAAAAAAAAAAAAACAAATCTGTAAAACAGAGGAAAGGATGAAGGGGGAAAGCCTTTAAAAGTTCTACAGGGAACTGGAGAGCTGACTCAGTGGCTAAGAACACTGGCTGCTCTTCCAGCATCCACATAGTGATTCACAATCATCTGTATTTCCAGTTCCAGGGGATCTGAAGTGCTCTTCTGCCCTCTTCGACACCAAGCACACATGTAGTGCACACACACACACACACACACACACACACACACACACACACACACACACAAACACACCCCCCAAAAATTAGAGTTCTACAGAATAATGTCAAAATCTCATATAAGATGTAACTAGAGTCTAGAAACAAAGGATAAGGGAAAATGATACCATGTACTACTAAAGGAAGGCTAGCAATGGAAAGTTATCCTACTAAATGTTTTTAATTTCTTTACGATAAGACTGTTGAAAGTAAAAGTTAAAGCAGTATATTGTTGGGTTAATTATGCACAGATAACATATTTGGATTGTCATACATAACTCTTATAACAAAGATAACATATTTGGATTGTCATACATGACACCTATAACAAAGACCATGACAGGTATGGTTACATACCTATATTCCTTGAACCACCAATAATAATAATGCAAAGAGGTGTAGTCCAAAAGCACACATACAAATGAAGATTAAAATGGAATTTAAAAGCACACTCAAAGAATGTATGCCCGATCTTCTATTATTTAAATATGCAGGTTAGGGTACAGGTCAGTGGCAGAACATTTGCCAGCAAGCACAAGACCTGGAATTTAATTCCCATCACCACAAAAATAAAAATAATCAAGAAAAAAGTAGATATGTGGACAGACTTGAGAGTAATGCAAAAAATAAAAGGCAGCTATATCCAATAAACAAGAATGCCATTTTTTTAAAAGATTTTATTTATTTATTATGTATACAACATTCTGCTTCCATGTATATTTCCACATCAGAAGAGGGCACCAGTCTGCATTATGGATGGCTGTGAGCCACCATGTAGTTGCTGGGAATTGAACTCAGGACTTCTGAAAGAGCAGTCAGTGCTCTTAACCTCTGAGCCATCTCTCCAGCCCCCCAAGAATGCCATTTTTATCCTTTAAAATTAATAGAACTAGTGTGATAAAAATTTGTGAGGGGCTGGAGATAGTTCAGTAGTTAAGAGCACTTCTTGCTCTTGTAAAAGACTACAGTTCAGTACCTAAGATCTATAGGTGGTTCACAACCATCCATAATTCCAGTTTCAGGGGACCTGACCCCCCATCTTCTGGCCTCAAGGGCACTAA